TTTGTTCACTCGACGGTAGGCAGGTACATTTTATCATTTAACCAATCGCTGCTATTTGGTTGTGACGTATGTAATGCACTGCTAACGTGGCTTTTCCCAAATCCCGTAGGAAGAAGGACAATAACGTCTTTCTCCTTGATAAAATTCACCAAACATTCTCTTTGTTCCGGCTTTAAATCCTCGATCTCAGGAATCATTGACAACACTGAATTCTATGGCTCTTCGCTGATTGGCTGGTACCCGAAGTCACTCTTCTTGGGTTTTTGCAAACTGTCTAGTGTATTCTGATTCCTGATCTAGTCGCTGGAGAGAAATGAAATTGAGTGGAGGCAGTAGGAGGCACCAGCTTCTTTCTGCTGCTCGATTATGTTTTTTTAAATTTCCTACAAGGAGAACTCAAATATACATTGAGTAATAATGTGTTTAATGCAGCGTTGCGCACATTTGTTTACATTTTACAGAAACAAAACTTAAAACCATATGGCACATTTGCATAAACTATAAGCTCTGAAATAAACAGCTCGCTCCTTGTGCGCTGATGCGGATCAGCTTCTGTCGGACTAAAGGACACGACTCAGTGGAATATGAGTGTTCTCTCTGTGACAGAGGGGTGTTCTGCTGATGGTGAGTCTGTTCTGTGTTTCTGTCGCGTTGGAGACTTTTCATGTGAAACTTTTCAGAGATTATACGTCTGCAGGTCAAACGCACAGACCAGGAGTGTCCAACTGAAATTCACAGAGGCCAAAATTAAAAACTGGGACTAAGTCATGGGCCAAACTAAATATTGATTGAAAAAAATTTATCAGCATCTGCATATTTTCTCATCAACATTTTTAATAAATAATGTTTCAGCTTCTGTCAGACTCCGCGAGGTTCCTGACTACAGTCGCCGTAACGCTTCAACAAACCATCAAGCGGTGCGGCTTTGTAGCTTACAAAAAAACATACTAAAACATTTTGACAGATTTTTGAGCGCCGTGTATCACATAAAATCGGTTCAAAGTCAGTAAACACAACCAGAAGTAATACATAAGGCGCACTGATGATTTTTGAGAAAATTAAAGTATTTTAAGTGCACCTTATGGTCCGAAAAATACGGTATTTGGACACAGTAGCTCACACATCACAATATAATTAAAAATAACAAAGAGTAAAAAAATAAAAATGGTAATAAAACCTTCTTAATATGTAGGAATAAGTGAGTGGTGTTAAATATGGCATAATTATGTAAACATTTATGTACAAATAAGTAAAAAACAACAGAAATATTGTAACATAAATACAGAATATCACAGTTATAAACAAGAGATTGTAAGAAAAAAGGATATGATGATTGACAGAAACATGTAATAGTTTGAAAAATAGATTACTGAACTCTTCCTCGCGTCGTTCCTCACTTCCGTTCGTGTTTCCGTCTCCGTCTCGCGTGTGCAGATCTCGTGTCAGGGCTCGTCTCCGTGCCGCCGTAATGATGGTGTCACAGAGCCTGGTTAGCCGTCACTCGCAGGATTTCCCCGGCGCGCGGCTCATGTTAAACACCGATGTTCGTCGTCTTTACACGCACGCGGGGAAATGGGCCTCGGCCGCAGCTGCTCACACAAACGCAGCGTAAACATCTCGACGCAGACGCGAGGAAGAGGAGCTGACAGATACAGAACGACGTCCGCAAATACACGAGACATGTTTGTGTAGAAGACTGACGAAGAGCTTGTTTAGAAGTTGTAAGAATTTCAGACACTGCCATTTAAACTGTGAAGACTTTATTTTATTTTACTGTTATTTCAACTTTGACAAGGCTGGTAGACCTAAAGATCAGAGTCCTGAACCGGGTCGGGTACTTGCAGAGTTGCTGAAATGGGCAGGTTTTAAAAGTTTTAATGTTTTTGGTGCATGTCCAGGATGTCTGTCGCCCTAGAAGCAAGTGCCATTTCCCGGTGTTTTCCTGAAACGAAGGCAGACCAGGCTGAGAGAGACTTGATTTATATATATTTATTACATAAAACCCGGAGGTCAACAGAAGTGATCGGTTCGGTGGCTGTGCTCCTGGTTTCGTTCTGGTTTAGACCTAGTTCAGTCCTGGTTTAGTCCTGGCGATCGACTCGGTTGGACGCGGTTGTCGGGGTGTAAATATTTATAATCCGTTAATGACATGGCGTAGGTTCAGTCCTGGTTTAGACCTGGTTTAGTCTTGGTTTAGACCTGGTTTACTGGTTTAGTCCTGGTTTAGTTTAGACCTGGTTTAGTCTGGTTTCTGGTTTGTTGTTTAGTCCTGGTTTAGACCTGGTTTAGTGTTTAGACCTGGTCTAGTCTGGTTTAGTCCTGGTTTACCTGGACCTGGTTTAGTCCTGGTTACCGTTTAGACCTGGTTTAGTCCTGTTTAGACCTGGTTTAGACCTGGTTTAGACCTGGTTTAGACTGGTTACCTTAGTTAGACCTGGTTTAGACCTGTTTAGTCCTGTTTAACTGTTTAGTCTGGTTTAGACCTGGTTTAGTCCTGGTTTAGACCTGGTTTAGTCCTGGTTTAGACCTGGTTAGACCTGGTTTAGTCTGGTTTAGTCCTGGTTTAGTCCTGGTTTAGACCTGGTTTAGTCTGGTTTAGAGCTGGTTTAGACCTGGTTTAGTCTGGTTTAGTCCTGGTTTTGGTTTAGACCTGGTTTCTGGTTTAGTTTAGACCTGGTTTGGTTTAGACCTGGTTTAGTCCTGGTTTAGACCTGGTTTAGTCCTGGTTTAGTCCTGGTTTAGTCTGGTTTAGAGCTGGTTTAGACCTGGTTTAGTCCTGGTTTAGTCCTGGTTTACCTGGTTTAGACCTGGTTTAGTTAGTCCTGGTTTAGACCTGGTTTCCTGGTTTAGTCCTGGTTTAGTCCTGGTTTAGACCTGGTTTAGTCTGGTTTAGCTGGTTTAGTCCTGGTTTAGACCTGGTTTAGACCTGGTTTAGACCTGGTTTAGACCTGGTTTAGTCCTGGTTTAGTCCTGGTTTAGTCCTGGTTTAGTCCTGGTTTACACCTGGATGAAATCTCCTGAAGTGGTTTTCACTTCACAGTTGTGCCTCAGGGTCGAGCAATGATAAAAGCAAAGGGTAAAAAGCAATTTTTAATTTTTTAAATTTTTTTTTAATTCTGAAACCGGTTAAGTTATTTTGAGTTTCTTTTGTTTGCTACATTCCACATGTGTCCATTAGTCCATAGTTTTGATGCTTTCACTGGAAAAATAAATAAAAATAGATAAATAAATAAATAAATATAAAAATCTAAAAAATAGGTAAGTTAAAATGACTTAAAATAAGATAATTTTGCTTTATTTGAGTCAGTTCAACTTGACAAGTCAAATAATCTACTAATGGAATAAGAGTGTTTTTCTTAATTCAAGCAAAATTAGATTTTGTTTCTTATTTTAAGTGTAAAAAGTTGTTTTCCTCATTAAGTACAAAAAGTCTTGTTCCATTGGTGGATAATTTTACTCAAATTATGATCAAACTTTCTTAATTCAAGTCATCTTAACTTTAAGATGATTAACTAGATTTAGTTTTTTGCAGTTAGTGTGATCTCTTGGTACAATATTATCACGATATGCATCTCACAGTACGATATTGACTGCGAATTTTTCTCGAGGCTGATTTAATTGTAGATAGGACGCTTTTTTGCTTTTAAAACACCCTGACAACTTTTTGGCGTGAATTATTTCCATCATAATCCCAAGAATTAAAGTCAAAAACATTTCTTCATATTGTCTGCGCTGAAATGAATCATGGGAAATGTAGTTCCTGATGTTTATTTAAAGGTTGTATAGAGGATTTTTTAAGGGAAGAGAAATAATTTTTCAAACGTTGTGCATGTGTGACACCACCTTCCTCCTCCACAGCCTCAGTAGAAACATCTCCTCCCGCCTCTTTACTCTAGAAATCACGTTTGTTTACATCCAGTTCAGAATTGCTGTTGAAGTGACCTGTCTAGAAATAATTTAGCGACCGACGCGTCAGTTTTTAGACCCTTCGTCTGCTTCAGTCGCGCCATCGCTGGAAGGAATCTCCAAAAATCACTTCAGTTTGTCTATGCTCCTTTTCTCCTTCTCTTCTTCTTTCAGCGACCTCAAAAACTGACTTTCTTTCGCGGCGAACTGGTCGTGGATTCTCGTCCGACGTCGCGACAAACTTTGTGCGAATTGCGACGAAGCTAAAGTTTGAGAAAACCTCTAAGAACCGCTGCATAAACCACATATTCCCAGTGAGTCAGTTACACAAGAAACGTATGACAACCTAACAGCCAATAGATAAAGAGGGAGCCTCGTTTTCTATTGGCTGATGTTTCTCTTGCCTCAACACGTCCACAGTTGATGGATTTTCATTCTTTTTTTTTTTTGGTCATCATAATTACAAAGCTGCTGCGTCTCTGTTATGGTATTTTAAACTTTCACTGACAATTTGAAACTAAAAAAAAATCCTCCATACCACCTTTAAGCAAAGAAACTCGTAATTCGATATGTATTGTGACGGTCCATGATATTATGGTGAGACTTTTGACGAACGATGGTTATTGTTAAATAGAAACATAAATGCAAAAGTGAGTAGAGTATAGTTTAGATAGGCCTTAGATCGACTCTTTTAATATGTCACTTATGCCTTTTTGATACTGATCCCTTAATCCGTCGTGGTCTTAACTTGGTTCTCTATCTCATCTGTTAATAATATTTACCCCGACCGCCATATTGTAACTTTAAATCCTCTTTTCTTGTGACAGTTTTTATCCCGACGTTGTGTATAAACCTTGATCCTCTTCTTCTGATTCTGCTTAAGCCTCGTAACCGTCTCCTCCCCTCTCTGTCCCCCCCCGTCTCCTCTTTATGTTTTCATCTGGATCATTAATACCGGCTGTGTCCTCCTCTCATCCTCCGTTGTTTTACCGCTCCATCCTTTCTTCTTCTTCCTCTTCCGCCCTCCTCCTCCTCCTCTTCTTCTTCTCGTCGGCACGTGGGGGTTTTGAACAGTCTTCTTCTTTTTCGCGCAGACCCCGCTCATGTTCACGGAGCAGATGCAGCAGGACGTGATCATGGTCCTCAAGTTTCCGTCCAACTCGCCGGTGGCTCACGTGGCGGCGAACACGCAGAGCGGCCTGAGCGCGCCCGCCATCATCACCGTCACCGCCAGCCGTCTGTTCGCCGTCAACAAGTGGCACGGGCTCGCAGGTAAGAGGGAGAAACAGACACATAAGTCGATTTTGCGCAATATGGGACCTTTAAGTTTGAGACTTCGCAAATGCATGGCAGGGATAGAGGGACTTTTGGTTTTGAAAGTCCTTTTTTTACTTCTTCTTCACTTTATAATAACTACACATTATTTAGCCTTATTAAAGCATGAATAAAGACTTAATTAATAATGAACAAAGACTTAATTAATAATGATTCACGCTTAGTAAATGCTTAATAAAGGATAATTCATCTTCACTTTAGAAAAACTCTCAAAAAGATTTAACAGATAACAGCTGCCTGAATTATCATTGCATTACATTATTAGTAAATCATTCTCTCGTAGTTTACTAATCATTAATAAATGCTCAAATGGTTAGTTCATGAGTAATTAAGTATGAAATAATTATGAGTAACTATTTACAGCACAGGCAGATTAAGTGCAAGTGCTAATTAAGGTAGTAATTAAGTAGTTACTAAGCGTGAATCATTATTAATTAAGTCTTTGTTCATCATTAATTAAGCCTTTGTTCATGCTTTATTAAGGCTAAATAAGGTGTAGTTATTATAAAGTGTTACCCTTCTTCTTTTTGCCAACAAATGGTACAAAAAGCATTTAAAGTCTTGATGATATAATATTGTTAAATTCGGTAACACTTTATAATAACTACACCTTATTTAGCCTTAATAAAGCATGAATAAAGACTTAATTAACAATGATTCACGCTTATTAACTGCTTAATTACTACCTGAATTAGCACTTAACTTTCACTTAATTCGCCTGTGCTGTAAATAGTTACTCATAAGTATTTCTTACTTAATTACTCATGAACTAACCATTTGCATGTTTACAAATGTATATTTAAGTACACATTTGAGCATTTATTAATGATTAGTAAGCCATGAGAGAATGATTTACTAGGAATGCATTATTGTTTCTCTGGAATTTGACCAACCTTAACAAATGTTTAATAAACACAATTACTCTTCACTTTAGAAAAGCTCCCAGAAAGACATAACTAACAGATAACAGCTGCTTGAATTATCATTGCATTACATTATTAGTAAATCATTCTCTTTAGCATTAATAAATGCTCAAATGTTACTTAAATATGCATTTGTGAACATGCAAATGGTTCATGAGTAATTAAGAAGTATTGAGTAACTATTTACAGCACAGGCGAATTAAGTGCAAGTTAAGTGCTAATTCGAGTAGTAATTAAGTAGTTACTAAGCGTGAATCATTATTAATTAAGCCTTTGTTCATGCTTTATTAAGGCTAAATAAGGTGTAGTTATTATAAAGTGTTACCTTAAATTCTAAAATTGCTTTCAAGGCTAGTAAAAATGCAAGTAAATAAATAAAACCACAATATATATTTATTATACAATTATTTTTTTTACTTTTATTTAACCACTTTAACAAGATCAACAGTTAATTTCTGAATATTTCACACTTCGAGGTCAATATTTTAAAAGTTCTCCTGTAGCAGCCTGTAGTTGCAGCTATAATTTTGACATTGAATCATATAAATCTGAAAACTTTAAAAACATGTGATTATGCGACACCGTTTTAACACATTTTGATTTAGTTATAGTGAAATTTGGATGTACTTTGACTAAATTAGAGTCCAGATAAGTGATTCTCCTTGGTCCGTGGTTGCTGTCCGGTGCTTAACGCCCTTCAGTCTCTGAGGACGGACGGTGATGGTCAGTGATGGACAGTGACGGGTCAAACGGCTGCGTTTGTCTCCAGATTTCTTTTATCAGACGAGACACACGGAGCAGCCAGCGTCAGGTCGTCTGTCCAGACCTGAACATCAGCCTTCAGTCCTCACACGTGTTTACTCTGCGTCACTTACTCTGAAAACACACCAGAGATCAGACTTAAAGAACAGACACTTCACAGGTTCTGATGATTCTCACGTCTACCTTAAGTTGGTAGAATAAAAGTTTTACACCAATCAAGAAGCAGCTTGTGAAGAAAAGTTGAAAAAAATTACAGGCATAGAACTTTAATCAAATCTGAAGGTGAACCCAAGATGGTGTTGTGTTGTTTTCAGTGGCCTGTGCTCATTGATAGTCAGTCTGGCGCCACCTAGTGCCTCCACTCAGTTTCATTTCTCTCCAGCGACTAGATCAGGAATCAGAATACACTAGACGGTTCACAAAAACCCCGGAAGTGTGAGTTCGGACACCAGCCAATCATCGAAGAGCCATATATTCTGTGTTTGGTAACGATTCCCGAGATCGAAGATTTAAAGCCGGAACAAAGAGAATGTTTGATGAATTTTATCAAGGGGAAAGACGTTATTGTCCTTCTTCCTACAGGATTTGGGAAAATCTTAATATACCAGTTAACCCCATTAGTGGTGCACAGTGTTGGGAAGGTGACTTTTAAAATGTTTTCCCCAACAGATTACAGATTACACACCTCAAAATGTAGTTTGTAACGTAATCCATTAAATTATTTAAAGTGAGTAATGTAATCTGAATACTTTGGGTTACTTGATTTGCTGTAGAGAAGAAAAGACGAGGAAGCGCAGCACGATTTAGTCCTGTTAAATCCTGTTTTAGGCCTGGTTCAGTCCTGGTTTAGACCTGGTTTAGACCTCGTTTTAGTCCTGGTTTAGACCTTGTTTAGACCTGGTTTATCCTGGTTTTAGTCCTGGTTTTAGTCCTGGTTTTAGTCCTGGTTTTAGTCCTGGTTTAGACCTGGTTTAGACCTGGTTTAGTCCTGGTTTAGTCCTGGTTTTAGTCCTGGTTTTAGTCCTGGTTTAGTCCTGGTTTAGACCTGGTTTAGTCCTGGTTTAATCCTGGTTTAGTCCTGGTTTATACCTGGTTTAGTCCTAGTTTAGACCTGGTTTAGACCTGGTTTAGGCCTGGTTTAGTCCTAGTTTAGACCTGGTTTAGACCTGGTTTAGTCCTGGTTTAGACCTGGTTTAGTCCTAGTTTAGACCTGGTTTAGACCTGGTTTAGACCTGGTTTAGTCCTAGTTTAGACCTGGTTTAGGCCTGGTTTAGTCCTAGTTTAGACCTGGTTTAGTCCTAGTTTAGACCTGGTTTAGTCCTGGTTTAGTCCTGGTTTAAACCTGGTTTAGTGTTCGGCAATGAGTGGAATTACCGAAAAAAAAAAAAAGGGATATAGCCCCAAAATGTGAAAACAGGAAAATACCTCTGTGTATCCATGTGTAATCCAAGTAACTGTAATCCAATTACCACTCACTGAAACAGTAACTGTAACTGAATACAGTTACTCATAATTTGTACTCTGATTACGTAACTCCAGTACATGTAATCTGTTACTCCCCGACACTGGTGGTGCATTACATACGTCACGACCAAATAACAGCGATTGGTTAAATAAAAAAAGTACTCGCCTACTGTCGAGTGAACGAATTCTAATGCTGCGAGGTCCAATGTTGTGAAAATAGAAAAGAATCCTACAAAATCTGACGCTTGTGAAAGTTGTCGATGTTTGAATTCCCAAAAAATGAATTGCTCCAAGGACGTAGGTTTGGTCTCAGCTTTGGTGTTGACATTATCAGCTTTAAAGGTGCACTGCACAACTTTTCTGATGGAGGGTGCTGCTAGTCTCCATGGAGATGTTGTTACTTTCCCTGGAATGTTCCATGACCCTCCACTAGAAGTGTTACGCAGTGTATCTGTAGGATATATTGGCCTGAGTCCAGTGTGCCGCTCTCTCCCCGCGCAGACGTGGCTGATGAGTCTAATTGGGATAATAAAGCTGACGTCGTCCCGTTCAGACACTCGGTTAATTGTGTGGATTTATGACGAGCTCCGTGAACAGAGCGACTAAAATAAATGTGCGTCATAAAAAAGAAAAATGGAGAGATGCAAATGAGCCTGTTGTTGTTGTCGCGTCGTGTCGTGGAGCGACGGTGACGGACGCACACGCGCACTCGCTCACGTTTACTACAGTATCATCCACTTTTAGCAACATCTTTATTAAAAAAAATTTTAATTTTGATTGCTAAAAGTATAATTGAGATGAAGAATGTGAGGTTTTCTAAATGGAATAACGTTATAAATTTATATCTCACATATTTCTGGAGCTGCTTACTTCATATTCATGTTGTTGTAAGGGATTTCAATTATTATTATTATTATTATTATTTATTTATTTTTATTTTTTTATTTATTTTATTTATTTATTATTATTATTTTTTTTATTATTATAAATTCCAGTTTAGGGGTCTGCAAAAATATAAAAATTTCAATATATCGTATTGTTTAATGTGATGATACAGTATCGATATCGTGGGCTGCTGTATCGATATATTGCCAAGAGTATTCTTTGGTATATTTTACTTTTTATTTTACAGTTTTGTTGCTTGTTTAGACGAAGGAAACTCATTTTTGCGACACATTTGACATTTTCATTGTTTTGATGATTAAAATGTTTGTGTTTCATATGAACTTTGCAGAAAAAGTGGTTTAACAAAGACTTTTAGTATCACAGCCATGATTTAGCCTTTATTTTTTATTGAACTGTATCGAATCCATTTGAAATATATCGTGTCAAATCGAAAGTGCACTGTATCGAGATATGTATCGTATCGCCAACTTCAGCTCTATTCACATTTCAGAAATCTTTCTCTGTATTTACATTACCAGTGAACCAGTGTTTTTACTACTTTCTACATTTTATACAAATATAATATGTGTAATTTAAAATATGTCTAATTTATATATATATAAATAAAGACTATTTCAAAAAGGTTTGTAGTGAAACAAAGTTGTGGATGAGTTTGCACTGAATTCGAATTGGTTAAAATGACCAAAATCAGCCCCACATATCGGTCCAAAAATATCGTCAGATTTGATCGGCCTTCAGTTTCCCTGGATCCTAAGACAATCAGTATCTGCGTCGACCATCAGTCTCTAATAACTTCCCTGTATGATGTGGGCAGACTTTGGGCAAAACTGAAAGCGTATCTTAGTTTCTGATGCTGTGACTTTGTGGTTCTGATTTCATATTCACTCATACATCTGTCATTTTCTTTCATTTTCTCTCCATGAGGCCTCAGCTTCTCAGTCTCACTCGTGTCTTCTCTTGTTTCAGCTCATCAGGGCTCCTCCTCCCAGGACCAGCACTACCAACTGCCCGTAGAAATCGACCCTCTCATCGGTAAGTCGCCTCACACCGTCACACTCTAACATCCCGCTCGCAAATCCAAAGAGCAGTGGAGGAAAGTTCAAAGCGAGGACTGAGCATGAGCTGAACAGTTGCAATTATTTTTAAGAAGAATAAACGTTTACATCAGGGTCACCAAACTTCTTTCTTTGGGGGCCACATTCTCTCTCCTGACTGTGATGGGGCCGGGGTCGGGTCGGTCGTGTAACAGAATTGTTTGACCCTGACGACGCAAATTAGATGATTTGAAAACTGTCACACTTTCTTTACATATCAGACAAACTGTAAAGTCCTCACACTGAACGAAAAAATAATTGGTCGTCCACTGTTCTTTGAAAACTTGGCGCACACTGTCAAGTTTTGTGTTGTGTGCGACTGTCACTGCTTGATTTCGAGTTTGTCAGATGACGAAATTCTGCAACAAATGTAAATACATCATTTAATTAAACTAGAAAAGCAGTCAGAGAGCGCAGACCTCCGCCAAGGACTACAGTCCCCCTCATATTAATTGTGTTTTCCATAAATATTTGTCTCGTATCTTTCAATTTGGAATATGAAAGAGGATCCCATTGTCCATCCCTGAGTCAAATTTCATGGGGTTTGGTCAATAATTAACCGAGATATTGAGAAACTAAATTTTTGGCCCCATTTACCACAATGTTAACAAAAATTTCAAAGTGATCCAGAATCCAGGATTTCTTCCGGATCAGCCCCAAAATGAAATCAGTTCTTCCTTTTCACATTTCCAACAAATCCTGAAAATTTCATCAAAATCGGTCCATAACGTTTTGAGTTATGTTGCTAACAGACAAACAAACAAACAAACGCCGGCAAAAACATAACCTCCTTGGCGGAGGTAATAAGAATATAAATACTTCATATATTTTTTTAATTGAAAAAATCAATACAAGATGCAGACATGTTATTATTTTCCCAAAATTTATTTTTAAAAATGGGCCATGTCAACTTTTGAGGATTATCTCGTAGGGTCAGTTCATGTGTTGGGGGCAGAGGGGCTGGGGGCCGGTTAAAGGGGCGTGCAGGGCCGGAGTTGGCCCACGGGCCTTAGTTTATGACCCTTGTTTTACGTGATCGAGGAATAAATTAATTCGGCTTTAAAATTGGAATAAACCACCCACTTAAATCTGTGTATCATTCATCATAAGAAAATGAAAAAACAACTATTATTTGTCTCCAAAACCAAAATGAAAAAAACAAATAATGATAAATTTTTTCAGATTTCGATTTTGATTTCAATTCCCCTTTTCCATGACCTAAACCGTGATGCCGAACTGAACCAGGACTGAACCAGGACTAAACCAGGTCCGGGACCAGACTGGAACCAGACTGGGACTAAGTCCAGGACCAGAGCAGAACTGAGACCAAAACTGAAACCGGGAACAGGACCAGGACTGAGACTGGGACTGAAAACGTTTAGTTCAGTCCTGGTTCAGTCCTGGTTCAGTCCTGGTTCAGTCCTGGTTCAGTCTGACATCACAGTTTAAGTCAACGGGAAACGGTCGTTATCCATTTTTTCCATTTTTCATTTAAACACAAAATCGACAACTGAAAAAATGAATCATTATCCGTTGTTTTTTTTTGTTTTTTTTTTTTTTCCGTTTTGGTTTTGGAGACAAATAATGAAGAAAATTGTTGTTTTTTTCGTTTTCTTATTTTTAGTTTTATTTTGAAAAATTTATGAACGAATGACACATGGATTCACTTACTTTGGAATTAAGTTCAATTCCAAATAATCATTTTCATATGGAAGTGTTAACATGTTTTTTTGAAAGCAGAATGTTTATTCACTGTTTAATTATTTTTATTCAGAATTAAAGCTCTTATGTAAACCTGGCCTATGACTAAGCAAAAAATCAGACAACACCACGCTTTAAATTTCCCCTCCCTCCATGTCCCACCTCGCCAAAAAGTGCGTTCCTGCAGTTTGAAGCCCCTCCCCTCCTCTTTATTCCTCGCCGCGTACGCAGGAGCCACTTTAAATTCACAAACGAAACCATGAATCTCCGTGCGACTTGTAGCTGTCCCTCTCCACTTCATGATATAGGCGCGCTCCCAAACATTTGCATGTAAATTGGAACGCAATGAGCTGTGGCCCCGCGCCGGCATTTCATCACCAGACCCCCCCCCCCCCGTAACCCCTCCCCGCCCCGTCCCCGCCGCGTTCCCCCTCGCCCTAATTCGAGCGCGGGCGGGGGGCCGGAGGACGCGCGTCGCCCCCGAATGAATACGAATGCCGTAATAACGCGTGATGGAGAAGCCGCTGTCAGGACAAGATGGCGGCGTCTCATCCCTCAGACTTGTTGATGACGACGAGGGGCGCGGCGGCGATGCACGCGAGCGGATTCTGCAGAGGCGGGGCCACAGCGGCGTGGGGGGAATGGTCTGAAAATACCCGGAGTTCCATTGAGGTTTATTTCTCTTTAACTTCAGTGTTGGGAAGGTGACTTTTAAAATGTTTTCCCCTACAGATTACAGATTACATACACCAAAATGTAGTTTGTAACGTAATCCATTAAATTACTTAAAGTGAGTAATGTAATCTGAATACTTCAGATTACTTGGTTTAACGTAGAGCAAAGACTCGGACATCTTCACATAAGAAGTTTTGTCTGCTGAAATAAATAAAAATAATAAAAAGCCCAGACTTTACTGAACCAAATTAAAAATAGTATTGATAGAAAAGGAGGAGACATGGTCCACACAGCAGGATTTAGTCCTGTTAAATCCTGTTTGAGACCTGGTTTAGACCTGGTTTAGTCCTGGGTTAGACCTAGTTTAGACCTGGTTTTAGTCCTGGTTTAGTCCTGGTTTAGTCCTGGTTTATACCTGGTTTTAGACCTGGTTTAGACCTGGTTTTAGACCTAGTTTAGATCTGGTTTTAGTCCTGGTTTAGACCTGGTTTTAGTCCTGGTTTAGTCCTGGTTTAGACCTGGTTTTAGTCATGTTTTAGTCATGGTTTAGTCCTGGATTAGACCTAGTTTAGACCTGGTTTTAGACCTGGTTTAGTCATGGTTTAGTCCTAGTTTAGACTTAGTTTAGATCTGGTTTTAGACCTGGTTTAGACCTGGTTTTAGTCATGGTTTAGTCATAATTTTAGTCATGGTTTAGTCCTAGTTTAGACCTGGTTTTAGACCTGGTTTTAGACCTAGTTTAGACCTGGTTTTAGTCCTGGTTTAGTCCTGATTTAGTCTTGGTTTAGACCTGGATTTAGACCTGATTTAGACCTGGTTTAGACCTGGTTTTAGACTTGATTTAGACCTGGTTTTAGACCTGATTTAGACCTGGTTTAGACCTGGTTTAGACCTAGTTTTAGACCTGATTTAGACCTGGTTTTAGACCTGGTTTAGACCTGGTTTAGACCTGGTTTTACACCTGGTTTAGTGTCCGGCAATGAGTGGAATTACCGATAAAAATAAAAAAAGGGATATAGCCCAAAATGTGAAAACAGGAAAATCACTCTGTGTAATCCATTTATTTCAACAAAGTAACTGTAATCCAATTACCACTCACTGAAACAGTAACTGTAACTGAATACAGTTACTCATCATTTGTACTCTGATTACATAACTCCGGTACATGTAATCTGTTACTCCCCGACACTGGTTTTACATCCTGGGTTTTTCTGTCGCTGTAAACATGTTACGCAGACTAACGACATCCTCAAGTGATTCGTTAAAATGTGTAGATTCATTATTGATACTTTGCAGATGAATCCCTGGGAGTGTGATTCTAACTGGAGGCACTGCTCTGTCTGAGGCTCTGTTAGACTTTAATCTGATCTTTATTTTAACATAATCTTACCAAAAAGAGCTAAAGTGTTCATTGTGTCATTGTGTGTTGAATATTCCTCCATATATATACATGTAGGACACCCCCAGCTGCTCTGCAAAGTGTCAGAGTGGAACCCTCAGATCCTTCAAGGTGTTCAGTGAAGGCCCAAGAAAAAATAAAATGAAGTCACCTTTTACCTTTAGTTCAGTTGAGATTGGAAATTCCTGGTCTGAAATCATCCAAATGATTCTAGTGAAGGTGTGTAGAGTTTGAAAACACAGTGTAGAACTTTCTGTATTACCCCATGAGTGTTTTTTTGTGTGTGTTTTTTTTCCGTTTGGGAGAAAAACTCAGCCTAAATCTGCAGGGTTTGTGTGTTAAACGTGTGAACGAAACAAAACACGACTCCGGGTTTGTCTTTAATGAGGAAACAACTTCATAACGGCTCAGAAAACGGCGTAATCTGGGCCTTTACCCCGCTCTTCTGACACGACTTCAGGTTGTATAATGGCTCTTAAATCTTCTGCTCAGTGTGTGAACATGTTTTGGGAGTAATGGTGGGATTCGCAGGCCTTGTCACTAATATATTTCTGGTGTTTGCATTCCACACGCAGCCCGAGCTAAACACAGCCAAAGCAGAGATGTGCGCGGGGGCCAGCTGGGTCCCCGGGGAGGCTGAAGGATTACTCTGGGCAGATATATGGGACTTCTAACACCAACAAACAAGAAAAACTACAGCACTTACACAAAGCAGAGATATTTCCTTAAGCTCAGATGAATTTGCTGTGCGCGCTTATGCTACACGTTAAAGGGCCCATATTACGCTGTTTTCTGAGCTTTTATAATGTTGTTTCCTCGTCAAAAACGGACCTGGAGTTGTGTTTTGTTTTTTTCACGCATGTTTAACGCACAAAACCTGAACCATGAACCAAACACAAGTATTTCAGTTCAACAGAAAGTCTCCTACAACAGGTAACGCAAATCAGGCTGATAAACAACGGCAAAACTTTGACTTTTAGGCTGAGTTCTTCTCGAAAACGGTTCCCCCCTGTGATGTCATGTGGTAATACAGGAAGTGCGCCACTGTGTTTTTAAATTCCACACACCTTCACTAAAATAATTTGGTTGATTTCAGACTTGGAGCTGCCGATCTCTACTGAACTAAAGGTAAAAAGGAGCTGTTAACACTACAGCTTCATGACATCACAGGGTGGAGCAGAGAATTTTGAGGTTTGGAAATGTAGACAGACTAATAATAAAGGATTTCTAAGAGTGTACACAAAAATCACGGTTTGGTATGTACCTCGGTTCATTTTTGGTACAGTTTAAGAACAAAATATAAAACCATTTCCTTGTTTTTTATTTGTGTTTTTATTAAACCAACAATTTGTTTTAACATTTTACAAATGAAAAAATAAAATAAATGCAAAATTCAGCTTGGTGATACTAATAAGTTAAACAAAATATTCTCAAATATGCAACAAATGTGTGAAATATTATTAAATAAAAAATAAATTCCTTGTAAACAGTAAACAAAACTTTTCAAAAAGTAAAGTGCAGCAGTAACAGCTCCAGCATGAAGTTTGACTCAGTCTTCATATTTTTGGCCAGAAAAAAAACAACTTGTCCACGTTGTCTGTAGTAAGTGCAGATCTGCTGCAGTTCCAACGTCCACAGTGGCTGAAAATATACTTTCACTATGGAAAGAGATTGTGGGTGTGTGTTTATGGGGGGCGGGGGTACCGGCGGAGATTCTGGCGGATATTCCTTTCTGGCAAAAAGGCGAGAGTGAGGATCAGGACACGATGGCCGTAGTTTTGCGAGGATTCACGTGGTTCGGAGGGACGTAGTCAAGACGCAGGGCAATTGTTGTCAAGGTGGTCGCTCTAACTATAAAGCGCTGCGGGAAACACTGCCCCAATCACGGGTGAATTCCCTCATGAATATTAAAGAGCCGAGCCTCCGTGTAGCTGCACATGTAGTGGTGGAATGTAAACAACACAAATTGTACAAACTCACTCATGCACTCGTGAGCTGAACGTCCTGTACCGAATCAGTTCGACATGATACATAAACCATTACACTCCTAAGGATTACACAAACAAATGCTACTAAGCAGAACTTAACAACATTATAACACAGCTTAAAACAAGTGTTAATTTTGTGTAATATAAAACCTTTAAGCTACATGTTCTTTTGTTTTCCCTGTTGTAATTTATAAAACTGCAGTCTTAATATGTTATGAAATTCTTACAGCGTTAAAAAGTAAAGGTGGGCCACAGATTTTATTTAATCTAGCTGAATATTACACAAAAGTGGGAAAAGTAGCTAAAATTCTACTACATAAGCATACCAGAACAAAAAAGTTTATTGTCAATTCTTCACACGAAACATATGAAGAATCGAAATTGTGTTTCTCACTCCCAAGCACGAAACAAATAATAATAAATGGAAAAGTCCGAGTGTTCTTCTTTGGGGAGACGCAGATTCCTGCTTCCTGGCAGCCTGGTAGTTAGGGAGGGGAGGGAGTTCAGCAACTTAACAGCAACTTAAAGGTAAATTATGCAACTTTTTTGGTGGAGGGTAAGTCATTGCTCTGCCTGCAAAGTTCCACAGTATAACCTTATCATAAAACAGCTCTATTTTACACATATTCAATTACACGTGTTTTTCTTTTAGATCAAAAACATCTTAAAAGACAACATTTTGACTGTGAACGGGGTCGCCTCTCCACAGATGTGACCTGTAAATTAGTCTGGTTTGGTCTCCATGAAGAAAGAAAGGTTTAATAGCAAACAAAGTAATAACATCTCCATGAGAAAAGCACTTGATGGACCCTCCACCAGAAAAGTTACACAATCCACCTTGATGAGAGAGTATTATACATAGATTTGTTTATTTCGCTTTCTTCCATGTTATGATGTTGTTCCCTCGTCAAAAAACCACCAGTTCCACCTTTGATTCTGAACATCTGTGGCTGATTTTGTGTACGTTTGTGTTTGACAGCCAGTAACGTGGGCGTCCATCGACGTCAGATCTCAGACCTTCTGGACCAGAGCATCCAGATCAGCTCTCAGTGCTTCATCATCACCGCAGACAACCGCTTCATCCTCCTCTGCGGCTTCTGGGACAAGAGCTTCAGAGTCTACTCCACCGACACAGGTACCAGAACCACACCCACTACTCCACCGACACAGTACCAGACACTCCCACTACTCCACCGACACAGGTACCAGACAATCCCACTACTCCACCGACACAGTACCAGACACTCCCACTACTCCACCGACACAGTACCAGACACTCCCACTACTCCACCGACACAGGTACCAGACACTCACCCACTGCCCACTACTCCACCGACACAGTACCAGACACTCCCACTACTCCACCGACACAGTACCAGAGACTCCCACCACTCCGCCGACACAGTACCAGAGACTCCCACCACTCCGCCGACACAGTACCAGACACCCACTACTCCACCGACACAGGTACCAGACACTCCCACTACTCCACCGACACAGGTACCAGAGACTCCCACTACTCCACCAACACAGTACCAGACACTCCCACTACTCCACCGACACAGGTACCAGACACTCCCACTACTCCACCGACACAGTACCAGACACTCCCACTACTCCACCGACACAGGTACCAGACACTCCCACTACTCCACCGACACAGTACCAGACACTCCCACTACTCCACCGACACAGTACCAGACACTCCCACTACTCCACCGACAGGTACCAGACACTCCCAGCAGTGACGGCTCTAGAGTTATGTTTGAGTTTTTCCTCTTATCACCCTGACTTCTTTTCAATTTACACACACAAAACATCTATGGAATTTCTTAATAGATAGACGGATATATAGGTTATGTTTACACTAAAACATATCACCATACCACCACATCGGAAATTATTTGTGTCCAGACATGTCGTTTCTGTGTCCGCAATCAAAGCCTTCCCTATCCACACAGTAAACCGAAACCGCCTGAAACGCTAATCACATAATTAGGCTGGCATCACGTTTTCATGACATTGTGACATGTCATGTGGGCGGTAAAAACCAGGCAGTGGAGCACTATGTCTGAAGCTGCAATAGTCGATTTCGAGCTGAGGAAGATGGCAAGCGTGAAAACCGTCTTTTCTACTTTTCTACCAGCAAGTAGTTCTAGCTATGCGGTTTCCCGTTTGTCTCTGGTTTGTTTAAACTGTTTTCTGCAATAGCATCACATGATCGATGTCACAAACCCAGTAAATCAGGAAGGAGCAAGTCACAGTGACCTGGTCCAATAAGAATGAAACTAGAGCTCCTGCGTCAGAGTATCAGTGTTTTCAGGCGCCCACACAGTGCTGGATCAGATCAGATGAATTCGTGGGAGCTGGTGGCACCAGATCGTTCGTCTCTGGAGCCGTTTTCAATCAGATTTAGTGTGAACGAACACTGCATCCACAACAAAAACGACTCGAATACGTACTAATGTGGATTGGGCCTCAGAGGACTTGTTATTAAACATATTCCAAGTCTATAACCAGTCTTTACCGGCAGAAGATTTCAATATTTCTCTCCACAGAAAGTTACACAGTGTTGCTTTAACTTGACACTAGAATTGGTTGTAATTAAGAGCTCTGGATTTTGTTTGTCAGTGTTCATATTTAAACTGGCTATAGGTTTGTAATATGTTTAATAATAATCTCAGGGTTTATATGAGTCCAATCTGTTCTAGAGTTAATTTAATGTGGAAATGTGAAATGACCAAAGTTCCTGTTTAACCCTGAAATCAAGAGTTATATGAACGTTTTGAGAGTAAACAGAAAACACTTTTTAGGGTTATCCTGATTTAACAAAACAACACACAGAGGTGTTTCATTTTTACACTTTATTTTAGTTCATTTAAGATGAAATTATCTACAAAATGGGTTCAAACTGGTTTTCTCTCGCGGGATTTTTTGGAGTGTTGTGTAACCGGTGCCAAATTAACACTAAGGGAAGTTGAATTTACTTTAACCATATCAACTCTGGCAAATAACCCTAACTCGAACCCCCATTTTCTTTAGTTAATTGGTTAAAATAACACTTTTTCTGTTAAAAACAACTCTGAAACTGAAATTTTAACCCTACAGTTTTCGCTGTGTGGCTGGTCACTCTAATCACATTTGAAATACACTACAAACAATTAAATTTTATTTAATTGTATCTTTTTTTTTTTTTAAATCATGTATTCATTCATTCATTCATTCATTTCAGTCGTCAGAATTTCATTTTCTTTCTCTGTGGATACTACCTCGACGACTGAGACTCACACAGACACCTTCTTATTTCGTTACCACTGCTCCCTACGTAAACTACAATAGAGAACACATTGAATATGTTCCCACGAGAAAGTACAAAAGAAAACAACCAAATCTGGGTTTTGATTTATAGCCTTAATATATCCTTTGCCGTTTAAAATATCCCAAAAATATATGTAATTATTATTATTATTTTGCCATAGCACAGAAGAACCCAACCTGTCCTCCCCTTTAATCTTTACAGTGAAGTCTGCTTTGTGTAAATCAAACCTATATGTTATAATCACCGCTCATATACGTGCCCTAATGCCCACAGCGCGCGCTTTTCTATAGGTCATTTTGTCTCTGAAGTCATGTTTATTTTTAAAGCTAAATACAGGGATATTCACGTCCTCGCTTGAAAATAATTAAACTGGTCTGAGCTGGTCTGTGGCTAACCCTCGGCCACATTTGGAAGTGGTTTTGTGAAACACCACACTGCAGTATATTTATAATGTAACTCTATTACTCGTCGTGTTTTGCTTTTAGACCCGATTTCTGCAGCGTTCGGGCCTCCATGAAAATATAAAAAGTCAATTGTCAGATCTAACATTTCCCTTTTTAATGTAATATACAACTTATGGTATACATGTTTTGCAAGTTTTTAGTTCAGTGTTATGTTCTTTCATTCTCACCGTACTCAAAATCCCAAAAAATAATTTTATATTTTGTATTGACCTGAATAGACCTGCCCACTTTTGGCTCTAAATGCTCTTAAACTGCGCTTTCTTTGTGGTGGCTCTTCCACTTCCACAATTTGAGAAAAGATTTGCTGCTAAAATATAAAATAAAGTAGGCAGATCAATTCTCTGATACATATACAATAGGGCCCGGTCAAGCAGAAGTAAACAACAAGGCAAAAAATTCAAGTTAATGCATCTGATATAAAAATGTATTGAACAGATACATATGTACTCTAGTTTATGAAACTGTTGACCTTTTTTCTGTACCATTTTTGGTTCTAAAGTTCCATACGTTTTAAACAGACCATGTATGAAACATGGAACAAAAATTATTTCCCAAATTTCAAAGACCTGAAAATCATGTAAATAAATGGATGTATTTCATCATATCTTGTGTTATTCCATCTTTGAACTGTTGATGAAGGTACATGATTTAAAAAAAAAAAATTTAAAATGATAAAAATTTGCTTGGAAGGACTGACATATTTTATAGAAATAGTTTCCTTTCATTTTGAAGTAATATTAAAGTATTCGGAAGAAAAAAAGCGACAAATTATGTAAAATCCTGCACCTTCTACTTGTTTGTACAATTTTCCCTCCGTTACTTTTCCCTCCGTTACCATGACCTTTCTTAATAAAAAATCTCATGAGTCAAAAAGTAAGAGGTTTTTCAACCTAATCTTGTACCATATGGTAGAAAACTATATGAAGCAAATATTCAAACCAGTTTGTTAAGGATATGTAAGTGAGAACCAAGAGTTATCACTGTTTTGGATTTATTGCCCAAAAAAGTGCTGCATATTTCATTCCCTCCGTTACCGACATGAGTTTTTAAATTTTTTGTCAACAACTTGAAAGAATATCACAGGTTTAACTTGACCCTGTTGGAGTGTAACTCTTTCCTACATTCTGATACTTTACTTATTTCAATAGTTCCTCTAGTTTCTGAATAAGAGACATTTGAATGTCAAAAATCTGCCCCTGTTTCCCTCCATTACTGCTTGACTGGACCCAATACATACCTCGATACATAAACAAAAGAAAAAAGTAATTTTAAAAATTGGCATCTTAAAAAGATGAAGATAAGAACTAAGAAAAAAGTGATTGTGTTTCTGTTCAACGTGTTAGCGTATGTTTCAGACTACAAGTCCAATCTGCACTCTGATGAAATTTCACATTGGGAGCTTTGAAACAGTGTGTGGACTTGATTATTTTTAGACCTGGTTTAGTCCTGGATTAGACCTGGTTTAGACCTGGTTTAGTCCTGGTTTAGACCTGTTTTAGACCTGCTTTAGTCCTGGTTTAGTCCTGGTTTTAGACCTGGTTTTAGACCTGGTTTAGTGTCCGGCAATGAGTGGAATTACAGAGGAAAAAAAAAAAAAAAGAAAAAAAGGGATATAGCCCCAAATGTGAAAACAGGAAAATACCATCGTGTAATCCATTTATTTCAACAAAGTAACTGTAATCCAAGTACCAACTGTAACCGAATACAGTTACTCATAATTTGTACTCTGAATTACGTAACTCCGGTACATGTAATAACACTGGTTTTATAATCCGGTGCAATTTATGTATGAAACTAGACGAGAGAATTCAACATTACTGATACTGCGCTTTATAATCCGGTGCGCCTTATAGTCCGAAAATTACGGTATACAGCAAAAAACTCAATTTTCTCCAAAAGTCCTTGACAATACGTATATTTTTACACCTCTATGTTTTATTTTAAACGCTGAGCTCTTCTTTTTCCTCTTCTTCTCCTGCAGCGGTAAGAATGCACGCTCTGTTTGTGCATTCACCGGGAGACAGTGGCAGGTCACGGGGTCCCGAATGAGCCTGTCTCCTAATCACGTGTGTTTCAGAGTCCCATACGAGCCCTATCCAATTCAATTTTCTCTCCCCGCCGCCCCTGCCGCCCCTGCCGCCCCGTGTCCCTGCCGCCGGGGGGAGGACGGAGGGAGGGAGACGGCTCTATTGTGCGGCTGCCACCTCGACACAGTCCCGCTTTAATCGCGCCGGCTTCCGCATCTGCCTCCCGCGCTCCCCCAGGCCCCAGGTTAAAGAACAGGGGGTTTTATCAATTACACAGCCTGATTGCTACACGTGAACGCAACACGGCGCCCCGTAATGGGAATCC